GAACTGACAAAGTAGATAATGGAGGGCAATCAAGGGTTAAGTCGCTCCGCAAATAATACAAAAAATAATAAAACACATCTGTACTAAATATGTGGACTATAGTTGTCTACATCAACACAAATTACAGGGAAATACAGGAGCGGCAGTAAATTAAATACTTGAAGTAAATCAAACAAAGTCACAGGAAAGCGAACGGTTTATTTAACTCAACAAACTAATGAAGAGAGTGTATTTTAGCACTTTAGCACTTTAGTTTTAGAAAATAACAAATAACTAAATAAGTCACGACGAATGCTAAATAGTTCGAACACCAGGAAACTAAAACAGGGCCAATTTTGTTGCATTGGCGAGTACACGCAGATTATTAGTGTGGCTTGTGGTCCGGACAGAACAGGCCAAAGGACACCAATATCAATAGCAACAAGTCACATACATAAATTCCTAAGTTGACAAACCTATGCTTAATAGTTGTTCATTACTCTGGCCAATATAGCCACAGCTATCTATGCATGTATTTTATTTTATTTATTTACTTAAAAAACATTTAAAGTACAAAAAAAAACCTTGAAATATAAAAAAAATTTAGTACAACTTAAAATAAAATTCAAAATGTGAAAAAAGAGTAAGATGGGATTAAAGATTGTTTGATTCAAGTGCGAGTTGATGATGAAATAGCCTTAATGGAGAATTCGAAGGATATGTGATCAGCAAAAAGGTTATAATTGGAGTAAAACACACAAAAGGCGGGTACATGTACAAGTTAGATCGACAAATTGACAACCGAAGGGTATTTACTTAAAGAAAGTACACAGCTCTCAATCGGAATGAACAGAACAATTTGGTTTTTTGAAACATTAGTCTTGTCAATTAATACAAGGCAATTTTTGGTTATATTTCAATTGGTCTACAACAGCCCTCTTTCTGACACACAATGCTGGCAGCTATTATTATTTTTCCTGCTAGCTGGTGGTCAGTGCGCTGCAGGATATGCAGCCACAGCCCATCAATTTTTCACACCGCTGTCAGAGTTGACACTTCCTGCCAGGCAAAATGTTGTGCTACTGTTGGAATGTGGAAAACATATATAGTATAGTACTGTGTACATATATTTTTTCACACATGGACGAGGACCTGCAGTTGTGTGTGTGTGTTTCTGTGGGCTTGTAATAAATTTCAATGTAAACACTTGAAATAACAATTGTAATTTTCCTTGGCGGCAAAGTGTGAAATAACAACAACAACAGCACACAAACACACACATGATGACGCTCAAGGTTGGCTCGACAACCGCCGCCTAGGTCGCTGACAGACTCTTGACAATGTTGGGAATATTATTAAATTTACGTTTTATTCGCCACACATGTTGCTTATATTCGTACTCGCAAATGGAAACAACGACAACATGGAAGCAACAATCAAATATAAGTGAATATGACGCATTTTCAAAAATACATGTTCACATGTTGCCAAGGATTCAACTGAACACTCGCCTGATCCCATACCATACTCGTACTCCGTACTCGTGCCACATTTGCCACCCAACACGAAATATAGATTATATTGGTTTTCGTTCAATTTTCCACGCAATGCCAACAACAAGCTCAGCAGAGTAAACAAAGAAAATTGCGCAGAGATGCACATAGAATTGATTATTGTCCCATTGAATGGGCTTTTAATGAAAGGAAAGGACTTGCGACGCCTCCACACAATGAACTCAAATCATGCAAATAAATTGTATTGCCAACTACAACAAGGACGTAGAGTCCATTATTTCCTCTACACACGAATAGAAAGTCGAACGTAAACCAAGTTCTTCCACATATAGCTCTAAGATTATAACTTTTGTACAAGTGCTAGTATATTAAAAGTTTGTTTCTTCGGCTGATTGAAACGAAGTATATAATTGGGATTCAATTAAAAGTCAAAGTAAAAACAATCAAGCCATTAAACGAAACTATTATATCCCTTATAGCATAAGGACGTCCGCCAAGGTGTTATGTATTTAATAATAATAATAGTTTAATATGCATTTTCAGGAATTTAGTTTGCATTTTATTCCATATCAAAGTTTTTGAGCTTAACAAACTAAAGTGGTCCCATTCTCATGCAAAATCGTCTATTACTAAGTGCAATTTAAATTCTTTATGAACGAGCCTGAGAATTAGCGCAACTCACAGCAATTCATTATCGAATATTCAAGTGCCCCATTTCAATTTTAAAATTCATCAAAATGCTGTCTACATACAGGCCCACTCCCAGACACAATATTGCTGAAAACGACGCTAATTTTCATTAAGGCTTGGCCTCCACTTATCGTACTTCAACGCTACGGGAAAGAATAGTACAATAGCATTTAGCTCATGGTCATAGACATTATGCTATTAAACTTGAAAGTGATAATTAAAAATTAAAATTGATTACATCGCATCCGAGCCAACACAAGGGCCAGGCTCAGCACCAGAACGAAACGCCAGCGCGCTGGAAACTTTAGCTTTCGCTTTATATTCATGCTGGCCATTAGAAGTTGTTGTAAAGTAATTTAGAGGCGCAGCATTACGAATACGGCAGCCAAGTGATAAACGAGTACCAGCGACCAGCGACCGAGAATGGCGACCAGCACTAGCTTTAATTTCCATTGACAGGCAACGCGACTAATTTGGTAAATGCAAGGACGAAAAACTTTTGCCGCGCTCGCGAGTATAAATAGAAAATAGTTTTTGGGAATTTATAACAGCCGCAGCTATTTTCAAAAACTGACACGAAACTTTCTTCATGCTCGGGCAATCGTGGCATGGCAATTGTTGACAAATGATTTACCGACAATCTATTAAATGATTGCCGTTTGATGATTGATGAATGCCGCCGACATGGGCATATCGGCCTGTCGGTATACGCAGCTAAGTGGATTAAATTCCCAGCGCAAGCAAAAGAAACCAAGTTTTACACTCATTAATTATGCAATAGTGCGGCCGAAAAGTCGAGCGACCTGTTAAGCGTGGGTCTCAAGATATTAACACTAGAATATGGAATACATACGATTGTAAGTCAACAGAAACAAAACAAATTGAACCAAAATTATTGCGGCTTCAACCAAAAATAACGCGCAATTGTAATTATCGTCGCAAGGGACAGCTATAATTGTGGGTCAATGTGGTCGCTCAACCGAAAATAAGTCATAAAGTAACTAACAACTGAATCCAGCAGCAGCTAAAATGTGGCCAAAACAAATAGGCACGCCAAGGTCGAGGTGGGGTGGGGCCCAGCACAGGCAGCGATACATGGAATTTTTCCAAGTGAGTATATAAATATTGTAACATTTTATCAGAAAGCTACAAACCCTATTAGTGGCAAAAGCTCAATAAAGTTTTTTAAAATTGTAAAATGTTTGGACTGAGCTACCAAATATTATTGTTCCTAGATTACTAAGAAAAAAAGAGGAATGCTAAAGTCGAGCAGGCCTAACTCTTAAATACCCTGTACCTCCCACCAAAAAGGAAAAAATGAAAAGGAAAAAAATGCTAAATTAATTTTCAAAAATTATACTGATTAAATTATTTAATTTAATTAAATACAGGCATCGGCCAAGTCTGCTGTTGAAAACAGATGTGCAGCTTTCCCGTATACATAGCTATTATATCATGCATAAAGCATGATTTAATAAAATTAATACAGTTTTAAAAATCTCTGTAAGCGTGGTCTCTCTCATATAAGCAAAAAAAAAAAAAAAAAAAAATTCGCAGCAATTTAAAAATTTTCAAATTACAAATTTTATACTCTGTACATGAAATGTACAAGAGTATATTAGGTTTGCGCGAGCTGAAAAATGTAGACCCCATAAAGTATATACATTCTTGATCTGCATAACAAGACGAGTCGATCTACAAGTATGTCTGTCTGTCTGTCTGTCTGTCCGTATGAACACCTGGATCTCAGAGACTATAAGAGCTAGAGACACCAAATTTTGCACAAAGATGCGTTATGTGTGTACGCTGTGCAAGTTTGTTTTATTTTTTTGATTACCCCCCCCCCCCACTACCCCTTGTGGAGGTTTTCCCGATTTTCCATTCGTATAATCGCATATATCTCGGAGACTATATGACCTAGGAACACCAAATTTTAGTCCAAGATGCCTGATATGAATTCGCAGAAAATGAGCATTTTGGAATTTTCCTCCCTCTCCCCCGCAAATCGTAACTTCCGTAACTCTTGGAATTTGGAACTCCAACAAATACTTCCAGTTAATGATTATGTGTCCGTATGCCAAGTGTCACTATGATTTAACAAGAAGTTATAGCCATAAATATATTTGCTGCCCAAGCGCTGCCCGCAGCTGTTGTTGATGCTGGTGCTTTGGTTGACTGCAAACATGTTTACACAGACACGAATAGACGCTCATACATACATACATACATTCCCATAGACGCAATTGCTTTGGAAATGTGCAATTATACACCAATTATACATTTACGTGAGTTCGAATACCGAAAGAGGCAAAATCGATCAAAATTTTTTTTTAATTTTCTTAATTTTTTTCATTTCTATAATTATTCTAAACATATGTACAAAGTATTTCAAAGTCGGGACACCCAGCTTTAGCTTTTTTACTTGTTCAATATATTGAAAGGAATTCATGTGATTTATTAACGACGATATGAAGGATATTGCTTTAGCTAAACCAAGAGACGGAACGACCACTTCTGATGTGTGTTTAACGTTTGATTGCGAACAGAAACAAAACATAGAAATATACATGAGTAGTATGGAAAGATTCTGTTTTAACCATTTGTAATATATCCCGAGTTTCGTTAGTCAGATTTCCAGGTGCAGGCATCGAAATCACAAGTTAAACAACAATCTAGAATACCCTTGCCTACAACATTTTGCAAATATTTATTGTAGACTTTGCCTGGTCAGAGGCGCATTCGAGCAACCCCCAGGTTTTAGGTCCAACAAGTTTTAGGTGGGTTTGAAGAAAATTGAAATGGATGTTTTGTACTCACCAATTTGTGGCACATCGTACTGCCGCTGTCCGCGCGCTGTGCGCAACATCAGCTGGCTGGCTATGCTGTGCGAGACAGGCGGTGACACGTAACCGCTGCCGCCACCTCCAGCGCTACCGGAGCGCTTATGATTGGGATGAAGCAACTGTTGATCCGACTCCTTCTTCTGCTGCTGCTGCTGCTGCTGTGCATCACCAGTGGCCGTTGCTGCGGACTCGTGCGGTTTAGTGGATGTGGCCGCTGGATCAACCACATCTTCTCCTTTCTGTGTTGACTTTCCGCTATCCTTTGAGTTTGTTAGACTACTGCCGGATCCGTTGCCGTTGCCATTGCCATTACCGTTACCATTGCGATTGGAGCTGCTGGCATGCTTGCCAGCGGTGGCCTCTGAATTGGCCAGAGCGAGCTTGGCGCGCTGTTGCTTGAAATGCTGGCCAAAGATGTTGCGCTGCAGCTGCGATGGCGCTGATGATTGGCTGCCGGGTGGGGCATGTGCGCGTTTTCTGGCCCATTTCTGCTGCGCACGTATGTTGTAGTTGCCATTGGAGTGGAGTTTAGGGCTGGCATGGCTCTTGGCCGGCGCATCGCGCTGTTCTTGCTCAAATAGTTGCTGTAGGGACTCGGGCGCATTTAGCTCCAACTGCTCGAGGGTGCGATAGGGATTTGCCGGCAAAGCTTGCGCTTCGTCCTCCCAGCCATGGTATTGGTAGCCATCTAGTTCTGAAAGCAAATCCTCGCTGTCACCGTTATCGGTTGCCGATTCGAGTTCCATAAAATCATCAAAGTCCCCAAAGCCATGATGCGACTCATACATGGCAGCTGCAGCTGCAGCCGCCGCTTGTTGTTGCTGCTGCTCCTGTTCCCGATCTGCTGGCTGCACCACACGCCCATAGTCGTACTTGACTGGTCGGCGGCCGAATTCGCGCAACTCCTCGTAATCCTCGTCGGCGGGTAGCGGAGCGGGTGGCTGTTTGACGACGCTGCCAAACATGAAGCCTCGAGCTGCCTGCTGCAGCAATGCCGGATAATCTCCTACGTCGAGCTCGTCACTGGGATGCATTTGGATGCGACCGGCTATGATAGGCCGACCATTATGACCCGCTGGCGTTGCAGGACTCTCAGCCGTCTGCTTGGCCAGACCGAGAAGCATTAAACGCTCGCGTTCCAGTTGCGCCATATCCGCGATTTCCTTATTTAGCCGTCCCGTGGTGGCATCAAAGGCAGCCATAGCGGCTGTTCGGTGTGTGCCACCAGTGCCGCCACCACCACCACCCCCTGGGGGTATGCCACCTGCATGTGGCGAATGCTGTTGCTGCTGATGTTGCTGATGTTGTGCATGGTGTGGCGCCGTGGCGATCGTATGCAACATACGATTAGCAGCCGCTTGCAATGGTTGCTCGCCAGCATTGCTATTGCCAGAGTTGCCATTGTTGCCGTTATTGCCGCTCAAGTGCAGCGCATAGAGGCCGCCATTGATGAGCAGCACACAGACAAGCGTCTGGACCAGCGAGAAGAACATTTTCTTTTTGTTGGTTTTCCGTAGTTTCTCAATTAGGCGGCTTATGTTGGCGTCTGTTTCTGCGCACTGGGCTCAACAGTAAATGGTGAATTGTAAATAGTTGTAGCTGTAGTTTTTTGTTTGTTTCTTTTTTTTTTGTTGATTTCGTTTCAGCTTCTTTTTAGCTTCTTTTTGACGCTCCTGTGCGGCACTTGCGTTACGGGTGTTGCTGTAGCTTAGCTTTGCGTTTCGTGCTGCTTGCTGCTGCGCTTGTAGGTCTTCATGCTCACTGCTGGTCAACACTATGTGCGTTGACTGAGGACATTGCACAACACTGATCGTTTCTTACTGCAATTGTTTGTTGGCAGCACTTATCAGCAAGTTTCTCTGCTGCTAGCAACCTTTGCCAAGTTGCTTTTCCTTTTTTGCTTTTTACCGGCCGCTAAGCTGTAAATTTGCCAATGACTGAATAGCCCTGCCTGTCTCGCTGCTGCCTTAGACAAAATCAATAATCAATTGTCTACTTTCAGGCGTCACCGTCGTTGTCTTTGCCGTTGCCGTTGCCGTTACCGTTGCTGTTGCTGTTGCTGTGGCCGTTGTCGATGTCGTTACCGTTTAAGTGTCTCTGCTGCAACTTCCCTTTGGCTTTTGTTAGGTGTATTTTGAACTTTGTTGGCCTTTGTTATGGGAGTGTACAAACAGTGAGCAAACACACACACACACACCTATACACGCACGTCTCACACAGAGGGAGGCCTACTCGTACACGCACGCAAGGGGGCAACACACGTTGATTATAGTTTGCTTTTAGGCGCGCGCGCACACACTAGTTGCTTGAATTCGCTATATAGGTGGCTTAGCTTAGGTATCTGTTTATGTATATATTTTTAGACACTGACACTGACCCAGCAGCATGCAAAGCACGTCGTTGCCGTCGGCACTTTTTGGGCGTCACGGAAATTCAAGCTTTTATGTACGAGTACTTTTTTGCTGCGCTCGGCGTGTAACGGTTTTGATAGATGACTGAACCTTTGACCCGCACTGATTTGCCAAATAAAAACTGTAATCATTTACTTTAAGTACTTTTTAAAATCTATATAATTTGTATGTTCTGCTTCTCCATATATAAGTTTGTATATTTTTAAGGAACTTTTTAGCGCTCAGTTGGCTTCTTTATTTAATTTCTTTTTTGTTTGCTATATATGTTTTGTATATGGATTAATATGTATATATATATATATATATGTATACATATATAATATTTCAAAAATTCAGAAGAATTTGCTCACGTTATTCTTGTTACTTTATTAGCACTTTCTTAAAAAAATTACATGTGTGTTTTGTAAAATATTACGAAATTTGCGAAAAATATGAACATGTGTACAATTTTGTTTTTGTTTCAAACACTTTGCCACAATTTTAATGACTTATTTTTGTTTTGTGTTTTTTTTTCTGAATTTAATAATTTTTGTATTTTTGAAACAATTTAGTATTATTTTTTGCACTTTTGACCAATTTGGTTTTATACTTGAATTTGCTGTATCGGTTAGTTATATCGGTAAGATGCTTAAAAAGTGTTGAGTGTTGTTGAGGGAGTGTGTGGAAAAACTTTTGTTTTTTGTTCCGTGCGTTTGAACCGACAGGCAAGGACTCGTCGTATCGTCTCAGCAGGTTTCGCCTGTTTGTCTGCCTTTTGCTTGCTTGCCTGCCTGTCTGCCTTCCTGACGCGTACGCTGCTGCCGTCACACGCTCGGAAAACGTTCATGCCGCAGTCGTCGCTGTCGTTGTTGTTGGCTTCGTCGGCTGGGCCGCCGTTTCGCCGTTCCGCTCGCTCTTCTCAAGGCGTTTCGTATTTCAACTTTATTATTTTCACTCACACCGCCGCCGTCACCGCCGCCGCCGCCGCCGCCGCCGCTGCCACCTTCGCCTGCACTACACTGAGTATAATGTGTGAATGTATCTGTGTCTGCTTCTGTGTGTGTGTGTGTGTGTGTGCGCGCTCTGCGATTGTGACTGTAGGTGTGAGCGTTGTTGTTGTTTTTGCTGTTGTCGTCGTCGTTGTCGTCCTAGTAGTCGTCCTGGTAGTCGTAGTCGTTATCGCTCGTTCGTTGTGCAGTGCATTCGTTTCGGCAATGTCGTTGTACTTGTTTTTGTTTTGTTGTTGCTGCTGTTGTTGCTGTTGTCGCTGCTGCTATTGCTGTTGTTGTCGCCCGCTCGCCAATGCTTCGAATTTCACTTGTCCTAGCTGGCGGCTGCTGCTGCTGCTGCTGCTCCTGCTGCTGTGTCTACTCCTGTGGCTGCTCTTGCTGCTGCTGTTGCCCTCGCTGTGGCTGTGGCTACTTCTGGTTCTGCTTCCTGTACTCAGTTGACGGGCAACGAGCACGAAACGGCATTTGCGTTTGTTCGCTCAATACTGAGAGGGCAGCACGCTCAACCACTTGTTTTCAAGCTGGCCAAAGCCAAAGTCTCATCGTTCGGCAAACAACAAGTCAACTTCGCTGTCTCTACCGCTGCGTCATGTGTAGAGTTTTTGGGGCCGTGAGAGAGCACGAGTGAGCGAGCGAGGGGGAGAGCAAGCTGACGACCTATGAGAGAGAGAGCGAGTACGTTTGTGTTGGAGCGAGCGTGCGCGCATATTCTGCCGGTATTTCCCACATGTCCTTTCCGCAACAAACAAAAATCGGTATGGGCTGTCGTCGCCACAGGGGTAATTCCGAATTTTCGATTGTTTCACTTCATATCTGATTGGCCCTTCATCGTAATAAGATTTTCCTATTAGTTGAGGAAAGCGTTAATTATGGGATTTCAGTGTCTGAACATTATAGCTAACGTTTGCGCCATAACTACGGCTTAGTGCCTAATTAATTTGATTTGTTTTCAAAATAAAAGCACCTAACTTTTTGTTGAGCAAGCAATTGGGAAAAACTATGAAGAGTGTCAATTTCATTTTGGAAATACCTTTTGAGTAATACTGGCTTGGGTTGGAACTGATGTCAGGTAACATAACTCGGTCACCCATTACATCAACACCATTCAGTACCTGCACAAATGACACATTTATAATGCTTTCCAGTAGGATCAACAGGCCTGCAGTTTATGACAGCGCATTAAAAGGGGAGCTATCAGATTGTCACTCCGAAAGTGATCGACACTTATATGTTTTGAGATTTCTCATCAAACAAAAAAACAAAGCTTTTCTTTTATTGAGAGCATTTTAAAACAACATAATCAAAGCTATTCTTAGATCGATACTGCTAATAGCAGCGCCATATATCAATAATCCTACCAATATAGATGTATATTAAAAAGTTTATACAATATATTTAAGCAGTTATTGTAAAACTCTATAGTATTAAAAATATATATATACAACTAGCCCCTACTTCGCACGGGTATTTTTACAAAATTGTTCAAAATTATACATTTTATAACACACACACACTTAACACACACATACACCCCTATTTTTGCTATGAGTTACTAAGAAGGAGTAAATATTTTAAATATTATTATTTTAATGATTTTTTGTGCGTTTTTAGATATTTTCTTATTCTTTATTACGTCGGAGGCTCTCTGTAAAAGATATTTGATGTTTCATTTTGTGTTAGCAAATTGATTTTCAGGTGCTCCGACTCGTGATAGGTCAACATACAGTAAAACATTGCTCTCGTGTGTCGATCGTTACTAATTCGAAGGCTTGGCCTTGGGACTACCGGAAATTGAAGCCATAAAAATAATCAAATGGCATCATCGGTATCCTCGTTATATGAGCTAGTTGACCAGTTTCTGGGCCGTTGATAATAGTTGATACACTTAAATTGTCCCGCAATTCCTTAATAAGAAGCCTCGTCCCATTGCACATGCTTGGAAGGCTTTAATTTCTCAAAAGCATGATTGCAATTCCGAATTTTACCGTCAAATCATGTGGCGGCAGTCCACAAGTGTTTAGTGTATTTAAATGTCTTCAATATTAATCATGGTGTCGATCGATTTGTAATCTTTTATTTGGCTGGGGGCTTTTGAATAATATTGCCTTAATATTTAAAGTGACAATGTTTCGAGGATGATTATGAACTAACAGCATGATATTCAGGAGGTTTTTAATGTGTTTTTTGTACACCTTTGGTTACATTATTGGCGTTTTAGTAAGAATTCCATTCTTTTTTGCAAATATAATATAGCCCATGTTAACCGTCGATAGTGTAGCTTCCCAACAGTGAAAGAATCCATTGAATCGGTCTAGTAGATTCGGAGCCTTTTCAATTCAAACAAACAATCAAATCTTTCCTCTTCTTAATATTAGTATAGATAAAATATTTTAATTTAAGTTAAAAAGTGTTCCTTTCAGAATAAAACAAACAAAGTGATTACAAATTAAAACATGATCGGTGATCATGATCTCTAAATTAGGTGTATCCAAAAAATATTATGATTCTTTAGTGATCACTTTCCATCGCTATTTTGTCTGTGCATTAGCGTGTAATAATAAATCAAAGCACTTCTGTTTCTCGAGGGAGTATTAGTGTGTAGCACCTCAAAAATAACGTGAACATCACTTTTTCTAGCATTTACTCGATTTTAAAATACCCTGTTTCTCTTTCAGGGCGATTTTGTGCCAATATCAAGTCATTACTTCAAGTAAAAAAAATTGTTAGATAGAGCGTGGAATAATCTTAACTTAAACTTTAATCAATTTTTGATGTTAATGCAAATATGATTTAACTAAACTTAAGTTATATACTTACTACATACAGTACAATAATTTTTGATTTTATGATTTACAAAAATCGAACGTATATTTCAAGTTCGGTTCTTGGAACAAGAATATTGATTTTTTTTCTGAGTGTTTTTAGTCCATTAACTGGATTTTCTCTAGATAAGAAAAACTCGGAATGATAAAATTTGTTTTAGAACTAACACATTTTCTGCCTAATTTTTGAAGAAATCTCCATGTATATATACATCATATGATCTAATTATCTGAGCAAAGATTTAAAGACTGCGTAATGATTATTTGTTTA